CCCACACCCACACCCCACACACACACCCACACCCACCCACACCCCACACCCCAGTGAAAAATATTCACTGATTTCAATCGGATTTCTCTGCAACAAAATCAAAACTAAAATCGATTGATAATTTTGATTATCGTTGATCATAACTTAACTATTACTTGATATTGTTACTTATCCAGTATGAAATTTTCTAATTAAAATCGGATTATTCGGCAGCAAAATCAAGATTATAAATCGATTAATAATTTCGATTTTATTGCAAAATAATCGGATTTTAATCAGGAAATTTCACACTGGATAAGTAACAATATCAAGTAATAGTTAAGTTATGATCAACGATAATCAAAATTATCAATCGATTTTAATTTTGATTTTGTTGCAGAAAAATCTGATTGAAATCAGTGAATATTTTTCACTGGGACCCGCTTGGTTACATTCCAAATAACTTAGACAAAGAAGTAGCTAATGATCTTCAGTTTTCAGTATTCAAAAGAAGACAGATAACTATCAAATCATGTAAAAACTCGATAATCAGACAGTAGTCAGTATTGGTCAGTTTTCGATGAGAATTTTAGAAATACTACCGTTTTAAATTTTGTCATTATGTGTTAATTGCTAACATATTCATTTGATAGAGAAGTTCAAGGCTTTTCTCGATCCATACAAGATCAATCTCTCTAGGTAGTTCCATTGCTAAGTTATAAACACTTTTCTAGGATCATCGATATCAGCCAATTGACTACTGGTCAGTTTGGAATTACTTGATTTAGAATGTTTCCAATACGCTGAAGTTAGTGGTGTTATTTGTTTTCTTTTTTGAACCAAAATGAAAAATTTAGACTGAACTTTCAAGATCGTCACTTTTAATTAACTTTCAGGCGGGAAAAACTGATTCTTATAACATTCATTTAATTGCTTTGTTTTACTGTAAACAAGACAACAAACAATAGCATTAACTTCAGCTTTATAACTTAGCAATGGAACTACCTAAAGATATCGATCTTGTATGGATACAGAAAAGCCTTGAACTTCTCTATCAAATGAGTATCTTAGCAATTAACACATAATGGCAAAATTTAAAACGGTAGCATTTCTAAAATTCTTATCGAGAACTAACCAATAACTGACTACTGTTTGATTGTCGAGTTTTTACATGATTTGATAAAGTTATCTGTCCTCTTTTGAATACTAAAAACTGCAGAATACAAACTACTTCTTTGCTTAAATTATTTGCAATACAACCGAGTCTGCTGTATTTTTGAATCAACAGTAGTTTCTATGATAGATATATATATTGTTTTATTTAATTTATAGCTATTTTCGATTTTCGTCGTCAACCAATGACGATTCTTGAAATTGATTTTACATTATCTGATTGTTATCGAGCTTTAGGTCCAGCTGGTAGGAAAGTTTTCTTTATATACGAAATAATTCATTAATTATTTCATTGTTTATCGTTGTTTCTATTTTTCTAGAAGGTTTTAATCTTGGTGTTGTATCATTTAAAATAGCAAATGAAAAAAAATATCCAGTACTTGAATAGATAAATTTTTTACGTCTTCATATATTCGAAACATTAGTTTTTACATTATTTGTACGACCAATTCGAATTTCAAATCTTATGGTTGATAATGATGGTGATGATATTTTAGTTACTTTTATTTTACTTGATGCGACACCACGTACAGGACCAGTAGAAGTTCCCTTGCACGAAGCTTCGCTCACTACATCTATCCAACGTCTTCGTACGGTAATCGATGTGAATAACCTGGTCTTTCGAGTAAAATACGGTACCAACGAAGCTATTCTACAAGCGCGAAACAATTCTCTTCAAGTCATCTATACGAGTTCTGATCAAAATGTTAATCAATGTGTTAATCAAACTTTTGTTACAACTCAAAACCCTGACGAATGTCTCGGCACAACAACTCAACAAAATCAAAATCTTGATAAAGGCATCGACATAGTTTACAAGGGTTCAGGCCCATTAATCACTGGTCTCTGGGTTGGATTCATCGTTTTAGGCACTTTGATCGGTATAGTTGGTGGCGTTTTTGTTTTGAAACGTTTCTTCAAACGATGAAAAAGAACAATTAAATGACATGGCAACAGCACCAAAACTAATGCTTTTGATTTATTTTTCTATATAGCTAAGTGTATTTTCTTTAAAAATAATTGCACAATAAAGATATTTTTGATAAACTAACGAGGGAACACCGCGAACTGATCAATCGCTTTTTAAATTTTAGTGTTGCCAATTTGTAGAGCTTGTTGAGT